AAAAATGACACAAAAGAATAGAAAATATGCCCTGGCCTGTATTCTCAGTGGTTAGAGCATCGGCCCTCAGACCAAAGGGTCATGGGTTCAATTCCCAGTCAAGGGCATGTACCTGGGTTGCAGGTTTGATCCCCAGCCCTGGTCAGGGCACATGCTGCCGGCAATCAATTGATGTGAGTGTCTCACCTCTCTCTTTCTCTTTCTCTCTCTCCCATTCAACCCCCTCTCTCTCCCTCCCTTCTACTCTCTAAAAATCAATGGAAAAAAATATCCCCGGGTAAGGATTTTAATAAAGAATGGAAAATACAATAAGGATAAGAGACATAGGGGTTATCATGAGATCTAGCATACAAGTAATTGGAATTCCAGGAAAAGAGAATCAGGCAGAAGCAACATCTGAGGAGGTAATAACTGAGAATTTATCAAATTGTTAAGTGCCATCAATCCCTGCAAGATCAAAGCATGGTAAATTAGACCACATCATAAGAAAAAAACATATAAAAAGGAAATCAAAAAAGCAGCCACAAAGATATAATAGTACTATCAAAAGAGCAACAGTGCCTTGGCCGATTTGGCTCAGCAGTTAGAGCATCAGTCTGTGGTCCCAAGAGACCCAGGTTCAGTTCCTGCTAAGGGCGTGTACCTCGGTTGCAGTTTGGCCCTGGCCCTGGGTGGTCGTGTGGGTGGCAGCCACTCAATGTGTCCCTGAACAAAAAATGGAAAAATGTCCTCGGGTGAGGATAAAAAAAAAAAAAAAGAGCAACAGTATTATTAAACTAACAACTACTCAATAGAATATATGGAAACCAAAAAATCAGTGGAATATCTTAAATTTGCTAAAAGACAGTAACTGCAAACAGAATCTACACTCAGCCTTTCCCCAAAAACAACTCTCTAAGAATGAAGATAAAGACACTTTCAAACAGTAAATTCAACAGAAGATTCTCATAAAAGCAAACAAGTATATTTTCAGACAAAAGCAAAATGATCCTGAAGTAGCTCAGGGTACAAGAAAGGATGAACAGTAAGAAAGAAAAAATATGGTTAAATCTATATTAATAGTGATGATATAAAATAGTTTTGGAGGTTAAAATGTGTTAAAGTACATAACAATAACAATATATAAGTTGATGCAGCAATTAACAGAGTTTTAAAGAGTTCTAGATCCTCGCATTATCCAGGAAAAAAATGTAAAGATAACCAAGTAATTAAATTAGACTTGACTGCATCACCTATAGAATAACCACTTAAAAAGTAAAAAACAAAAACGAGTATGTAACTACTAAGCTAATCAAGAAGGAAAGTATAATAATAAACCAAAAAAGAAAAAAAACATCAAATTGTACCCTTTAATTTGGTGTAGTTTATTATACATCAATTGTACTTTAGTAAAGGAGTTAAAAACAGGATGTGTATTAAATCTGCCTGTCAATAACTGATGGCGTCTAAGGTCTCACAACACTTACCAGTGCACCCAGGAGTTGAGCAGAGTAACCCTAAAGCCGTAGCTTCTGGTGACTCTTCTACTGACTCCTTCTTGCACAACCCCACCTGTGCCTCACTTTCAGCACTGGGAGAATGGAACACACTATTTCCTTCCTATTTCAGAGGGTCCCTGGAGATAATAATTAGGAAATGAGATTGCAGTGTAAAATAATTAACACTTTTGAAAAGTCAATGTGTGAACATTTGGTTTCACAATTCTAGACTATCTTTGAGAAAATGAACTTTGACAAAAATCTGCCTTTCCTTCTCGGGCTGCTAACAAGAGAGAGAGCCTGAGGATGAAAAAGGGTTTATATGATATTAATTACATCTATAGGAAAACATCATATAGATGAATTTCTTAAAATTATTTATACCTCTTCTACCATTCATTGGCTGGTGTAATTAAGCAAACTGAATTCCTTTTTCCTTGATCCCCATACCATGCTAATTTCAGTCTCTGTGAGTTTTCATTCAATACATTCTGGAGGCAAAGAATGCTGGGCTTACCTACTCAACCAACCCTAAACACTGGCAAGCACAATGCCAAGCACTGTAGATTCAATGACAAGTAACACAAAATTCACCTGAACCCCAATTTCCTGAAGCCTCTCTTAGTCTAAATTCCACCCTTTCGAGGCTCAGTGCAAGTCATATCTTCTCTACAAAGAGCTTCCACACTAATCTATCTGCAAATCTCTCCCTTTTCTGAACTATTTGCACTTAATCTGTACCATGCCACATCATATTATTTTGTAACATTCTAGAATTGTTCCACCAATCCATCCTTTTTTTTTTTTACCCTAGGTGCAGTGTTGATTTATTAATCATAATTTCCATCACTGATCGCACAAGAGCCCTCTCTTATTTATCTCATTTTATCCCCATACTACACCCCCCATTCCTCTCCCCATCCTAAACAACCATTATAATACACCTAATGTTTACCTTTTCATCGTATGTTTTCTTGCAAAATGAGCACTACCTTCTATGCACATAACTTATGTAAACAGAATTGTTATAGTTCTTTTACTTTCTTCACTAATCATCATGCTTCTAGAACATATACACGTTGCTATGTGTGCATTTATTCTATCGCCTTTACTTGTTGTACCCCATGGCGTACCTCCACCACATATCACCTTCCCTCTTTTTCAAGGATAGCCACAAGGGTGGCCTCCAACTTCAACTATTCTAGTAATTTTATGTATGTTACCTTGGCTACAGCTAAACTGTGAACTGCTTATAAAAAACAACCATGGTTATAGATCAATGGAACTGAACAGCAAACCCAGAAATTGACCCAAAACATTATGCTCAATTAATATTTCACAAAGGTGGAAAGAACATACAATGGAGTAAAGACAGCCTCTTTAATAAATAGTGTTGGGCCCTGGCCGGTTTGGCTCAGCGGTTGGAGTGTTGGCCTGAGGACCAGAGAGTCCCGGGTTCAGTTCCCGCTAGAGGCACGTACAAAATAAATACATACATACATACATACATAAATAGTGTTGGGAAAATTGGACAGCTACATGCAAAAAAGTGAAGCTAGACCACCAACTTACACCATACACAAGAATAAACTCAAAATGAATAAAAGACTTAAATGTGACTCATGAATCCATAAAAATCCTGGAAGAAAATGTAGGCAACAAAATTTCAGACATCACATGTAGCAGAATTTTCAATGATACAATGCCTAAGGTAAGAGAAACAAAGAAAAAATGAACACATGGGACAGCATCAAACTAAAAAGCTTCTGCACAGCAAAAGAAACAAGCATCAAAATGGAAAGGGAACCCACTATATGGGAGAGCATCATTGCCAATGATACATCACATAAGGGGTTAATTTCTAAAATATATAGAGTGTTCATATAATTCAACAAAAGGAAGACAAAGAACTCAATTGAAAAATGGGCAGAGGACCTAAATAGACACCTCTCCAAACTGGACATACAAACGGCCAAGAGACATAAAAAAATGCTCAACGTCACTAATCATCAGAGAGATGCAAATTAAAATGACTATGAGGTATCACCTCACACCTGCCAGAATGGCTGCCATCAACAAATCATCAAACAAAAGTGTTGGCGAGGGTGCAGACTCTAGTGCACTGCTGGTGGGAATGCTGACTGGGGCAGCCACTATGGAAATCAATATGGTGTTTCCTCAAAAAATTAAGAATTGAACTACCATTTGATTCAGTGATCCCACTTCTAGGAACATATCCTAAGAAGCCTGAAACACCAATCAGAAAGAGTATATGTACCCCTATAATCATAGCAGCACTATTTACAATCACTAAGATCTGAAAACAGCCCAAGTGTCCATCAATAAATGAGTGGATAAAAAAGCTGTGGTATATATATACAATGAATACTACACAGCTGTAAAAAAGAAAGATCTCTTATTCTTTGGGACGACATGGAAGATCCTGGAGAGTATTATACTAAGTGAAATAAGCCAATCAGAGAAAGATAAATATCACATGATCTCACTTACTTGTGGAGTATGAACAATACCAGCTTATGAACAAAATAGACCCAGAGACATAGAAGTAGGGTACAGATTGACAAACCTCAGAAAAGAGGGGCAGGGGGAAGAAAGAGATAAATCACAGAACTTATGTGCATATATGCATGACCAGTGGACATAGACAACAATGCTGGGGACAGGAGGATGTGAGGAGGGTGTCAATGGGGGGAAAAGGAGAACCATCTGTAACAAAAATAAATTAATAAAAATTGCAAAAAAAAAGAACTATGGTTTTCTTCTTTTGTTACACCCCTCCCCCTTTGACAGTAGTTAAGGGGCATTTGTTGATTTTCCATTGTGTACTATGCATGTTATCTACTGTAAGGTGCTAAACATTAAAACGAAATTAATTATACAGTAAGGAGTTGCCAGTGGAGTCTTCCTGGAGTTTAATCTTGACTTTACCCCTTACTAGCCCTGTGACCTTGGGCAAGTTAACACAAACTTGCTTTGGGCATCTCTTTTTTCATCTATAAAGGTGGATAGGAATAAATGAATTAACTAATACAAAGTACTTCAGTACAGCAAATGACATATAATAGGTGTTTAATAAATCATAGCTATGAGTCCTACCTCCTGCTTCAAATTACAGTCATTTGTACCTATCAATTCTTCTAAGAGAGCGTAAGCACCTTGGCTGAAGAACCATTCAGGTATTTCTTTATATCTGCTCATTACCCAGCACTCAGGTTTGAAAGGGTTAACGTTTTAACAAAATTAAACTCCATTCTGACCAGTTATTCCTGTACGTAAACACCGAGCAGTTTTCTAAAAAACTCTGGGACTGAAACCCAGCGGAGACATAAAGATAAGGAGTTAATGGTGGCTTTGGAACACTTGGAGGGACCATAAAAAGAAAGATTAATGATGGCCCTAACCTCTGCTGAAGTAGACTCCTCCCTTACCTCTGAGACAGCTTGTATCGGCCCTCGCACCAAAAAGTGGCGCCAAGAGAATGTGGGGTTTTTCTTAATGTAGTTTTTTTTTTTTTTTTTTCTAGTTTCCGTAGTTTGTATCTATATAAGCCAGAGAGCAAAAAAAGTTCAATGCTGAGCTCGTCTCAGCTCAGCACACCTGCACCCAGACATATGCAATAAAGCTATTTTGCTCTACATTGGCCTTGTGTTGTGGATGTGATCTCCCGCCGCTCAGACCTTTTAAGCTTCGTGTAATATTCCATATGTTTACATTAAATGGATTACTGTAATTCTTTTATTCACATTTTGCTAACCTCGATTTTAAGCATAAATGCTAAAGTATGTTAAAATGCTCTTTTATCCAAGAATGTAGTATGTATCACCATCTTTACTGCAAGATTCATGGCAATCTTTTATTTGTTGTTTATTACATGTTGAAAGTTATATCTAGTAAGAAGTAAAATCACAAGTTAGTCTTTTCTGCACAAGAAGAGGGCGATTTTCTTGTTTTCAATTTCTCCCTCCGGTGGCTTGAAAATGCAAGTGCTTTGTCAGTCGTGCTTTGTCTTCCTGATTTTAAAGTAAGAATCTGCATCCTGCAAAAAAAGTGACAGTAACACAAATCAGCCCCTCCTTATATTTACCCCAATTTTTGACAATTACTTCTGTTTTAAGGAGCTATATAAGTATGATTCGCTGTTGAGGATCCTTATAAAACCTGGGCAAATGCTTAGAGTAGAATAAAAATAACAGCTAAAATTCTAGATCTACAGAATGGGCTTACCATCATTACCTCCTCTATCACCGGTAAGCATCTGCTCGTGTCCTTTTACAAATGCTGAAGTCTCTATTATTACTCTCTGGAGCAGCATATCATACCTACACTGACTTGCCTTCGTAATTCCAAAGATTCAGAATATTTAGAATTAAAATATTTGACAGATAACTCTTAAATGGTTTGTGAACTTTTAGTATATTGCTTAAAATGTAAAACAAGGCAACTTACTCATGTGACATTTTATTTGGGAAGATGTGCATTTACTACTTCCAAGAATTTGTACTAAGACAAAAATAAAACACAAATTCAATGCAGCTATTGTTCTCTATCTCTAAAAATAATGATTCATCAAAGTTCCAGATGTACTGTTCCTAGCCTAATGGAGAGAAACAAATTCAAGCATTGTCACCAAGAACATTTAGTTTGGGATAAAGCTATATTAGCATTCTCTTAACTTACTTATAAGCAAATCATAATAAGGAGATGAATATATATATATATATATATATATATGTGTGTATATATATATATACACACACACACACACACACATACATACATAATAGAAAATAATGAGGAAAGAAACTGGGAGGAGAGAAGTAAAAAAAGTGAGAAACAATTTTTTATAGTTTCTATGGTTTGTGTGAGGAATGAAGTATGATATCTCAGAAATGGTGCTGGGAAATGAAATGATGCCCAGTTTATCATTTTAAAAAGTGATGAAGCATTAAGGCCATGTAATGAGCCATATATTAAAGACAGTGGTAGAAAGAGAAAGACCGTCATCGTTAGCAAAAATTAGATGTAATCAAATGCTGGATTTACTGAGTGCTGTTTATATTTTACAGTTAGATATTGTGTACATACAACAAAATAACATCTGCTGTAGTGGAACTGAAACTCCATGGTGTGTTTTAAGAGTTTTCCATGTACTAACTCATTAATCCCTATGACAATCCTATGACTAGATGCTATTGTCATCATTAATCTCCATTTTGTACATGGGGACATTGACTTATAGAGAAGTAACTTGCCTGAGGTCATGGGACTGAATAGGGTAGAGCTGGGATTTCAACCCATGTAACCTGGCACCAGGATGCTATGTCACCTCTCAGTAAGGTGGCCTTTCCCTCTGGACTCTTATCCATCAGTGGGTACAATATCACTATATCAGCTGTACTCCAAATTTAAAACCCAGATATAATCTTTGAATGAAGCTCACCTTTTAAACCATCCTACACTACCAAGCCCCAGAATTACCAAAACACTTAGAAATGATTTGGCCCAAAGCAAACTGGTCCATAGTACAAGTTGGTAGAAAGAGTATAGTCCCCCACCTTCGTGATTTTTCAAGCTCTGGATGGGTTAATGTAGCATGAAAATTTTATAACTTTTAAGTCTCTTTAAGCATTTTGTTTTAAGCATTTTTGCTTTTTCACTAATTCATTGTTACTGTCCTGCAAAAAGTTGAAGCAAATTAAATGTCTAACAAATCATGGATTGCTTAGTGGTAGGTTATATAATAATACATATGGCATGGTCCAATTTTAGAATTCTCTTTATATAATCCCTACTAACTTATTTCTAAAAGAAGGTAGTATCACTGAAATACTTCAACAATAAAACCATCTACCGAAATAACTTTTTGTGGGATAATATCTATAATTTTTGGCTTAACTCCTTACAAAGTTTCCTGTGCTGTTTCTGCATTAAACTCTTTTGATGGTCAGAATAATCTCAGAAATAGTTTATATTCCTCACTTTTCCAAAATAATGAGTGATCAGCATATTTTCTTGGACCTGGACTTAGGCACATCTCAGATGTGCAGAGTGCTTCTGGATCAAGTCAAGGCCCAGCATCACACAGCGAGAGTGCATTAGTTTAGCAGTCCAGTAAGTGCTTTAACAGAGGTAGGCACAGGGCTGAGGTTCACGGAGTTCTGGGGAGAAGTGAGGTGGGAGGTCAGGTATCAACCCAAGGAGTTGACACCAGAGCTGAGACTTATAGGATGAGCAGGAGTTTGTGAGGACTAAGGGCATTTGGCACATACACTGGTCAAACAGTAAATGTAGAAGGAAAAATGGCCACCTTTGATCTGATTAGAAAGCTTCTTTCTCCAAGACCAATAGTAATTTATAATAAACCAATAGATATGCCTGGGGGATAGAATACTTTTTATATGTTTTGTATTGATAGCATGAGATTAGTAGAGGTTAGTAAGAAAAGTTTTTAAGCACTAGAAAATTTCATACTTTCCTAAAGATTGATGTGTATTAAGAAATGTATAAATTGTTCTTACCAGACCATTCTTAAAGTTCTCAATCCTTTTCTTCCCTAATTTGTTTGTTAGCCACATGGCCCAGGTTGGGGTATATTGCCACAAATATGCCACTGACAAAAAAGGTTGATCTGCGATCCACACTTCTTTCAAGTCATTGGCCATGCTGATTAGTATCAGCCGCACACAACGACTGGTTGCCATCTTGTAGGACTGGTCTCCAACATTACATAAAGTCTAAGAAATTTTTTAAAAATTAAGTGAATGGTGAGTATTTATTCAAGGTATTTCACAGAACTTTTAAGCTAGAAAGAACCCAGAAGTTGAGTGACTTTTCAATGTGACCTCATGGCCCTTATGACCCCATAGGTACTAATAGGTGTCTCTAATATTTCAAAAAGCCTAATAGGAATCATACACTTACCAGATAAGACAGTGCAGGCTAACTAAAAGATGAAGGTTGTTGTTTATTCAAATTGTATCATCATAATGTACTTAATGATAATTATATATCATTTTAGTAATAAAAATATTTAAGCAAATTAATACATACATTTAACAAATGAAATTCTAGAAAACATAGGGTCAATGGAGGTAAAATGGAGGAAAAATATAAAAGCAGTTTCTTGGCAGTGAACAAATCTGGTACTGTTAACCCAGTTAAACTACTACCATTCTATAAATAAGCCACCTGAGGTCCAGAAAGGTAGTAACTCATCTGTGCTCACACAGATCACTATAATAACCATTTCAAGTCCTTTGAGTCCTATAACTAGATGATTATGCTATTTCACCTTAGAGCTTCCACAGAAGTGTGAAAATATAAATATCTGTGAACATTTACACAGAAGCATATACAGATTTATGTCTCAGTAGAAACAGATCTTAATGGAGAGGGACAATTTCACGGTCTTTAAAGGGATTTTGTATTATTGAGTGACACTAGATTCTTCATGAGACATTTGCTATTCATTTGATAAACCACTATGTGTAATCTGAGCTGAGGGCAGCACAGGCCTGGGTGAGGCTAGTCTAAAATTATCACAATGCAACAAGTCTTTTTCTAAGCTCCTTCACTGTGATTCCTTTTTAAAAGCCCAGTAAGTTTAGCCCAGCTAGTGTGGCTCAGTGGTTGAGTGTCGACCCATTCACCAAGAGGTCACCGGTTTGAATCCCAGTCAGGGCACATGCCCAGGTTGTGGGCCAAATCGCCAGTGGGGAGCATGCAGAAGGCAGCCAATCAATGTTCTCTCTCATCAATGTTTCTATCCCTCTCTCCCTCTCCCTTTCTCTCTCTCTAAAATCAATAAAGAAAAAAAAAAAATCCCAGTAAGTTTAATATACTAAAATTCAGCCACACAGAATCTTTCAGTATTGCTGTAATTGTGAATTGATAAAAACTGGGTTTTTTAAATCACATAATAGATTACTTACCAGTAGTATCTCAGCAATTTCTTTAGCCTTTATTAAAACTAGCTGTGAAAGCACTATCAGCTAACCTTAACAATTTTCCTAATGCCACGAGTTAAGATTTGTAAATAAGTCATAAGCAGTTCTAACATGAAAACCCTGAGGCACAGTGATACCAAACCAATATATGACTACTAAAGCATTCAAAGTATATCCCAACTAGAAGTTTTACCTGTGTGGCATCATTAGTTAAGGCATTCTTCACAATATTTGATTGCACAGGTCCTGGGAAAATGTTAGAAACTAGGATACCTGGGTAGGTGGCAAGTTCAGTTCGGAGGCCATTAAAAAAACCCTATTAGGCCAAAAAATAAAAAGAAAAAAGAAAATAAATACAGACATATCTCATGTTTACTATTAGCATGAAATTACTTTTCTTCAACTATTTGTGAAGGACAGCAGGAGCACATTACAAACATATGTTCTGAAATGCCTGAATAAATAACAGGAAATGTAATTGTGCAATCTTATTAGGCATTTTTAACCATAAGACTGGAGGAAATCAAGAATAGCATTCTCAGCTCTTTCTGGGTATGAATGGATCGTGCCATCAGTGATTTTTATGGTAGGGAAGCTCTGGTTAGGTGAAAAACTACCCCCTGGAGATTCTGATAGACCTCCTTAGACCAATCCCTATATCGCCAAAGGGGCACATGTTCTCAGATTTGTTTTCTTTTTATCCCTCAAAGTGGTCTCAAGTGCCAATATTGGGGCCAGAGGGAGTAAGAGGGATCAGTACTCAACAGAACCTCTCAACAAGAAAGAATTCAACTTTTTCTACTTATTATTATTTTAACAGACAATTAGTTTCAGCTAACATTGATCTTTCCTGGGCAGTAAGACCCTCTAGACTTAAAGATACTTGCCAATTCTAAACCAAACAGGGAGTAAACATCTACTTTCCCTAATTTAGGAAATGACCCAAGACTACATTGTTATAAGCCAAGTCAACTACTGAAAAGCCTACATAGTTAACCCAGGGTACATTTATTTATGATCCAACAATTTTAGTTACCAGCCCTTAATGCTGACCCCTAACGAACACAGGGCCTATGAGAATTCATTCTGTCAGAAACTAATACAGTGCCTATTCAGATGAACAGGAAAAAGGCTTTCTACATAAATGAACTCCCATACCCTTAACTTTCTGCCCCTCTGTAGCAGAGAGGAGAGAGGACAGACGCCATGAGAACCAACACATCAGACACTAAAACCTCTCCTTGTTTGAAATCACACCTAGTATCGCATGTGAACTTTTCATTGATAAACAAGTTCACTCTATAGCTTGCTGGGCATTGGAAAAGGAAATGTGTCCTTCAAAGAGCCTTCTGGTTTCAGTGTTCAGCTAATGTTACAAGTAACTAGAGTCTCAATGTGCCACATTGTGTCAGAGGATCAAATCCTGTAATAAAACAGTGAATCTTTGAGGGCAGGCCAGACGACTCATAATGTGTTTGACTGAAAGCATCCTGTATGTCTTATGAGATACATGGTGACAAACAGATGGGGTAGCCACCTTCCCTCACCTACCAGCCTAAGGCTTGCCCAACTGCTCTGCAGGAAGTGACTGATACCCTTTATTACCAGCTATGAGGAAATCATTCGTGTAGCATTCCATTTCATCACTCTCTTCAACTGTCTTCTTTTCACAACAGAAAGGATGTCCTAAGGAACCAAAGCTTCAAATTTTCATGAAACTGATGATCATTCAGCTATTCGTCATATTATTCCAACAGTGAAACGTTCTATATAAACTGACCTTCAACAGCATTAATTATAAATCATGTGTCTCCTTTAATCACTCTTCTCCTCTTGGCCTTATGATTTAATTTGTTCCATGTTATAGTTTAATAACATTTCTTCATATCCACTCTTAGCCAACATTAAAAATTCATTCGTTTCTAATATTCACATCTCATAAGTTAAGCAAACTAAATCAAGCTCTTCTCCTAGCCTCTGCATTGACTAGACTTTCTTCTTCCAATGTACCCAAAGTAAACAGAGTCAAAGCTAGTCCTAGCAAGGGATATGAAGTTCAGGGCTAATCATCTAGTGGATAGTTCCTATTTCTGACATGCTTATATATTTAGACCAGGTAAGATAAATTCCACCTACAAGGGGAAAAGAAAAAGAAATCACAGAAAGAGGGAGGAAGACTACTTCCTGAAGTATGTAAAGAAGTGAGGGGTAGACCCCAAACTTGCTATGAATATGCGGTAGAAATGAGGAGAAGGTGAAGGGTGACATGTTGACTAGACTATACAATTCTTGAGGGCAGGGACCATATCTCAGCATCTTTGTACCCCCTGGATTTGCTGCAGTGTATGACACAGTGCAGGTGCTCAGTACATGTTTGTTAAATTAGAAAGAGGCATGTGAGGCTCAAGTCTTTTTCAGCATTTCCCGGTGATGTCATCTATCAAAGGTCTTTTTCTATGTCTCTCTACATCACTGCCCATTTCTATCACCTCTTGCAGTGATGGCCATATCCCACATGTACATTTAGGTCAGTTCCATCAAAGTTATTTTGAGCAGCCTTACCCGAAGAGCATGTTTGCTTGCACAATATCCACTAGAAAGGGGCGCAGAGAAGATACCCATGAGGCTGTTCACAGTAACAATCTTTCCTTGCTTCCTCTCGATCATATGAGGCAGAACACACTTTGTCAAGGACACTGTCCCTAAGTAGTTAAGATCTATTAGCTCCTTGTAGACATCCAGGCTAGTTTCCGCACACAGAGAACGCTGGGATCTTCCACCATTGTTGACCAAAATATCAATCTAGTCAATAAAATTAGAAAAGGGACACTTTGGTGAAGACCTGTAGACAGACTGATAGGGATCATTGCTTATAGTGTTAACTGAAGAATTATTGGAACAGAATGGTGTCTTTCCAGAAGCCAGTAATAAAAATATAAAATAAAAAACAGAATTCACATATGGAATTAAATTCCTATTTTAGGTGACCCTTTATGAAAAGTAGTAAGTGTCACCTGGCCATTGTGGCTCAATGGATTGAGCGTCCTCCCATGGACTGACAAGTCCTGGTTTTATTCCCGCTCAGGGCACATGCCTGGGTTGCAGGCTCGATCCCCAGTGGGGAACGTGCAGGAGGCAGCCCATCAATATTTCTCTCTCACTGATGTTTCTATCTCTCCCCCTTCCTCTTTCTAAAAAAAATCAATAAAAACATATTTTTAAAGAAAGAAAAGTAGTAAATGTCATAAAAATAAAAGCACTGAATTTTTAGCTTCTTTTGTTCCACATGGAAGAGTTAGTACTTGTTAAGGTATGAAAAGTACTAATTTCACAAAGGCAAAGACTCAGAGATTAAGAGGCCCAACTCATGGGCCTTGGTCTCACTGCACTGACCCATTTGCTTCAAGCTCTTTTAATGATAGCACCACGTGGGAATCTCTTGCAGCTACTTCAAAGCAAAACATATCAATTCAAAGTGCTACTTACTTTACCAAATTCCTGGAGAACCGCTTTGGTAGCCACTTCATGTGAACTTATGTCAGTCAGGTCAAGCGGCAAAACAAGTATATCTTTTCCTTTTAAATTGCCATTCTCTAAATAAAGACACTTACAAATTAGTGTGGAAGTCATGCAATAATTCATTGAAATTCCTTGCTACCTGTGTTAAGTTTAATACCCATCCTACAACCAGACTTGGCAACAAAGTCATTTCTGAGTAGCCCTGTAGAAGAGTTTCTCCGTGATCAAGAAGACTGGTGGTAATGTGGTAACATCTTATTGGACAAAAAGCTGGCTGGGTACCCAGGAAACAAAATGTCTCTCTTCGACTTATATATAAACAGTCTAACATTGGAACAGACTCTAGAAGAAATCAAGATTATACTACACACTAAAAATAAAAGCCAAAATTTTGGAGCAATTTCTTTTTTTCTTTTTATCCTCACCCGAGGACATTTTTCCATTTTTTGTTCAGATGGAGTGGGAGGGAGAGGGAGGAAGAAACAGAGAGAGAAACATCGACATGAAAGGGACACATCAAGTGGCTGCCTCCCACACGACCCAACCAGGGCAGGGGACAATCTGCAACCGAGGTATGTGCCCTTAGCGGGAACTGAACCCAGGTCTCTCTGGACCACAGGCCAACGCTCTAACCACTGAGCAAACTGTCCAGGGCTGGAGCAATTTCTTTAAAGTCCATAGGTACTTTTGTTTTATTATAGGTTCACAAAATTATTGCTCTTTTTATTTATTTATTTTTTCCATTTACCTTCAGATAGAGTGGGAAGGAGAGAGGGAAGAAGAGAGAGAGAGAAGCATCAATGTGAGAGACACATCAAGTGGCTGCCACCCACATGACCCCAACAGGGGCCGGGGACAAACCGCAACCGAGGTACATGCCCTTAGCAGGAACTGAACCCTGAACCCAGTACTCTCTGGTCCACGGGCTGATGCTCTAACCACTAAGCAAACTGGCCAGGGCAGTTATTGTTCTTTTACACACATTGAAAAACAAAGTTTATGCTTAAAATCAGTAAAAAGCTCAGAGCCCTCCAGTGACACGACATATAGAAGCTTCCTTCCAGAGGCTAAGGATCCCAGGAGGCAAACAAGGAAAAGTACAAAATCCTGGAATTCGCAACCAAGAAACATGTTGCACTGTAATGGACCTTTTTATTTCTGTTCATAAAAAAAAAAATTGCAACTAATTCTCTTGAACTCTAACCTTGGAATACAAGTAATGCCAATAAAAAAAATAAGCAAGTAGAGAAACTATAAGGTACATAAAGTCTTAATGGGCAAAGGAGTAAATTGTGAGATGTGAACTGTTTTAAAAGAGAAAAGTTTGCACCGGTTGTCTGACAGATAAAAGGAAAACCATCAGCCTCATTCCAACTAAGACATGCTGATCCAGTTCATCTCTGCCAGTACAGGGGTTGCAAGTCTCAACACTGGAGGAGCAACTTCCACAGAAATGGCCCAGGGCGGGAACACAGGTGGCCTTTGAAAGCACTATCATGGAAGAGCCCTTGTGGTTTTGGCAGCTAACTTTTATTTCTGTGTGGTCAGTTCCATCAGCAAAATGAAAAGGAAGATTTCTGAAGAATGACAGGTAGGTGACCAAAAAAGTGGTCTGCTGGAATATTCGAAACTGGTTCAGTTTAGATAATAAATGTCCATGAGAAATAATAACTTTATTATTTAAGACTGCTTTCAATGTGAACATAACTATACTAAAACTCAAACAAAAATAAACATTGATGCCCTATATATTAATATAAAAAATATCTCAAGTGCATTTTTTTTTATCCTCACCCAAGGACATTTTTGCATTTATCTCCAGACAGAGCGGGAGGGAGAGAGGGAGGAAGAGAGAGAGACAGAGAAACATCGACGTGAGAAAGACACATTGGCTGCCACCCACATGACCCCAACTGGGGCCGAGGACAAACTGCAACCAAGGTACATGCCCTTAGTGGGAACCGAACCCAGGCCTCTCTGGTCCTCGGGCCGATGTTGTAACTGCTGAGCCAAACCAGCCAGAGCTCAAGTTGTATTTTCTTAAACTTAATTCCCTTTAAACTTAATTCCTGTTCTTTCATCCTTTATAACAAAAAGCTTATACTATTCCATAGGATTTCAATAACTGACATTTCAACAACATAGGTCAGGATTCTTTCTATTAAATTTTTATGTTTACATCATGTATGTCATACTTAACCAAACTATTTCTTCTTTAAGACAAAAATATAAAGCATTTATTTGGTTACTAAAAACTCACCAACATTTGAGAGAATTGCTGGTCATTCCCTAATGCCAAGAGGTAGTGCAAAAAAAAAAAAAAAAAGTAGAAAGATAGTAGAAAAAGGGAAGAAAATGGCAACGGCAGCTAATTAAGAGATGACAAAAGGAAGAGGATTTGGGTCAAAACACTTGGAGCATGTGGAACCAGAGTGTACTGCCCTGGAAAATCCTACTCTTACCACTGAAATTCCCCAAACTGTATTTGGGTTTGGATTCTGATTTATTTCTAGGAAGCAGTGCTGCTGTTTTAGATTTACTTACCAAGGCATCTTCTTTTCACCCTTTCCAGTTCATGCACTCTTCTGGCTGACAGCACCAGAGAAACTCCTAGTTTAGACAGCTGGTAAACCAGCTCTTCACCGATCCCACTTGATGCTCCGGTCACCCACACCACCATGTCAGTCAGTTCCCATTCTATTGAGAAAAAAGTGAGGATTGAAGGGAGAAAATAAGCTAGAATTACACCCATATAATATCCAATGATTAGCCAAAAAAAAAAAAAAAAGTGTTTTAAACAATGCCACTAATTATGAAGATATAATGTGTGGAACTTAACATTTTAAATATCCTGTTTATGGCCTTGATTGTGGTGATGGTCTCACAGGTGTTTACTTATCCCCAAACTCATCAAGTTGTATGTATTAACTACGTGCTCTTTTATATGATCATCATACTTCAAAGTGATTCAAATTTTTAAATTAAATATCCTAAGAAAACAACTCCTACCCAATAAAAATTTTTAAAAGCCTGAATACATATTAACAATTATCAACTCATTTTGTGTATTCCAGATTCTTGGGTGAGTTTTCCAGACTTTACTTCAAGGTAAGCCTTATAACTCCATGGTCTGACTTCAAGGCTCTACGTATCTATAAATCTGATGGAGGAAAAGGCTAAGTAAATAGAAAGTCTGCCTCGACTCACTTTCTCACTTTCCTTCTCCATAAAATGAGGGATTCAGATAAGATGATCACTAAAGGTCCCATCTACTTTTCAATTCTAATATTCCAATTTCTTGCAATGGAGGTACTGATAATGGATCTGAATATGCTAAGTTCTACTCTATGGCATGGTGGAACCATTCCTGGACTTTTAAAGGCACGTTTTCCCCATCTGTCAATCGTATATGATGCCTATCACATAAAGGCCATTTGGTAAAAATGTTCCCCACATGCCTGTACTTTCATCTTAGGAGAACTTGGTAGTTTACCCCTTGTGAAATGTATATGACAGTAAGATGAAATGGATTCTGCTTGCCCAGTTTATGTTCTTGTTAAAGACTGTAAAAATGTGGCTGCCATCAACAAATCATCAAACAAGTGTTGGCGAGGGTGTGGAGAAAAGGGGACTCTAGTGCACTGCTGGTGGGAATGCAGACTGGGGCAGCCACTATGGAAATCTATATGGTGTTTGCTCAAAAAATTAAAAATTGATCTTCCATTTGACCCAGTGATCCCACTTCTAGGTATATACTCTAAGAAGCCTGAAACACCAATCAGAAAGAATATATGTACCCCTGTGTTCATAGCAGAATTATGTACAATTGCTAAGAACTGGAAACAGCCCAAGTGTCCATCAGTAGATGAGTGGATAAAAAAGCTGTGGTGCATGTACACCATGGAGTACTATGCAGCTGTAAGAAAGAAAAATCTCTTATCATTTGAGACGACATGGAGGGACTTGGAGAGTATTATGCTAAGTGAAATAAGCCAATCAGAGAAAGACAAATACATATCACATGATCTCACTTATTTGTGGAATATAATGAACAAAACAAACTGATGAACTGAATGGACCCAGAGACATGGATATGGGGTAGAGACTGACAAACCTCAGAAGAGGGGAGTGGGGGGACGGAAGAGTTACACCACAGAACTTATATGCGTGTATATGTAACCAGTGGACATAGACAACAATGCTGGGGGGGGGGGCATGTCGGGAGGAGGGTGTCAATGGGGGAAAAAGGAGAATCATCTATAACAAAAATTAATTAATAAAAATATTATTTTAAAGATTGTAAAAATGTTGCAGTAATAACACAATGAGGTGTGCTTTATTCTCCTGTCCAATGAAAACACTTATTTGCACTGCAGGAGATGATAGCCACCTTCTATCTGAAATCATAGAGTCACTGTGATGCAACGTTCCTATGTGCCTTGTTAATTAAAATATGTGCTATTTATTAAAAATAGCAAACCAGGTACCACTTACCATATACATTTCTGGTTTTCAATTAGAAAAGTTAAAAATCAGGAATCTAGTTTACTGATTTCATTAAGTGATTCTACAACCTGTCAGGTGGACAGTCTGAGCTCTAGAAACTGCCAGAGTTCAAATCCCAGCTCCCCCACACATAGCAGTGAAATGCTCCTGTGTGAGAACCCAGAGCCTTAATTTTCTACAACTGGAAAATGGGATTAATAACAAAAACTCCTCCACAGAACTGTTGAGAGGAATGAGTTAAAACATGTAGAGTTCTCAGAGCAGTGTCTGACACATACCGTGTTTAATAAAATGTCAATTGTAATTATTGCTAAAATTATTTAATAAAAAGACGTTTTGGAAGCAAAACATAAGATATTCACTCACTAATTTGTGTGTTTCAATTTCTCCAGCCAGGGAAATGGGGTTACTAATTATAATGACTTAACATTTTTTTAATTACTTCCTATGTGTTTAAATGCATAACCTTATTAAAACCCTCACAACAACCTTATGAAATAAGAATTATCTCAATTTTATAAAAAAAAAAAAAGGAAACTGAGATTTACAGAAATTAATTTACCTAGACTATAAACTCCCTTAAGGCTGAGACCCTGTCCACCTTGTTCCTTGCTATGTCCTCAGTGCCTAGCACACTGTAATATAAATAACTGTCGAATAAACACCCAAGAGCCCTAGCAGAGCTGGGATATGAGCCCAGGTATATCTAGCTCCAAAGCCCACACTCTGACCACTGGCCTATGGTGCCCACATTTTAATATGATCAGTATTTTAAAACCCAACTGTTTCTTAGCCATTCAAGAAAAAGCAACTTGTCCTCGGGAAAGAGGTTCCATGTAAATATCTGAACTAAGGATGGAAACATCCCAAATACCGTGTCTAGGCTACAGTGCTTTCCCATCATGACATGTTTTTATGGAAAGGCACAATTGAGCCACCGTCCTGAAGGACTTTCTCAAGAATAGCAAAACGTACATTCAGAGTGTCATTTATTCATTCATCAACTACTCATTGTTCCAAAGTTCTGCAATACTCAGACTCTAAGGTAAATATAGTGTGTTTGTAACTATTTACTAACTAGCATAGGACTAACAAAGATTTCATTTTTACCCTAATATGCAAATATTATTTAAATCCAATGAGGAAAACCCAGGCTAATATTTACCTTAGTACACCTACAATTCTGCCACCTTCCTGGAGAAGAAAATCTTTTTTTTTTCTTTAGCATCAACTTTTGTTTACCAATTCCAAAGAATCGGGCACACACAGTGGCCTCCCTAAAAAGCCTCTGAAAGCAGATTCTCAAAGTTGGAAGGAAACGTATAGTGCAATCCCAAACCCAGTTTGAGAATTCTCTCTTCAGGTGGACTAGTCTCTACTTAATTTCCTCATAGGAAGAAGCTAGTTACCTCTGAGGAACTTGCTCCTTTTTTGGACCAGTCTAATCATTCAAAGAGTTCAAGGATTCTTATACTCATACGATGTACATTTAACTTCTACCTGGCAGTATCCAATGCCCTGTGGCATCAGAAAGAATAAATCAAGCTTGTCTTGCACATGACAATCCTTCACTTATTCGAAGACAGCTGTTATGTCCTCTCTAAGTCCTCTCCTCTGTTGCTTCTCTAAGGCTAAACACATAAACACATCCAATTTCTGCTACATTCCCTCAGATGACATGGCATCAGGTTTCCCACTCTTCTGCTCACACCCCTCTGCACAAGCTCTAGTTGGTCAATGTCCCTATTGAAGGAGCTGGCCAGAGCAGGATACAGGATTCCCACGGGTTCTGTACGATTCGGAGCAGGGTGAGATGGCTAAATTGCTTCCCTTGTCCCCCAGTAGGCAGGTTGTGTGAGGGCCTGGGCAGTGGCTGGATCAGTCACTGCTGTGTCCCCAGTGCCCAGCACAGAGACTGACACAGGTTATAGAAGACATCTGTTGTTTGCAGTTTGTTGCTTCAAGACACTAAATATCTCCACGCTTGCCTAATTTCTGGCATTCACTTCACAGTTGACTCATAATGAGGTTACTGTCAACTAAAACCTGAGTCTTCCTCACATGTGCTGCTGTTGAGACTTTCCCTACTCTGGACTTGTGCCACAGATTCTTTTCTGGATCATCGTGCAGCATCTAAAATTAGTGACCTTTAAATGTCATTATGTGAGATATATGCTTGGAAACACAGAGAATTTCCCTGGAAGAGTACATAAAAGGTGGGAAATAGCGGTGGCCTCCAGGGCAATATACTGGGTAGGTGGGGGACGAGGCTGGGAAAGAGCTTTACTTTACACCATGTAACCTTGAGAATTTCTAATTTTCTCTTATGGGAGGGTAGTGTTTATTTTTCAAGTAACAAAAAGATAATGAATCTCCAAAGGATATTAGGATAATTTTTTTTCACCTTAATAGAGTCTGCCCAGCTTTCCAGTCTGGGCCGTTTTGGAGCCCGCATCTGTCCCTGTGTTCCTCTAACTTTTGTCATTATCACCCCACCCCCAGGAGTTCTTTATGTCATGTTTTCTCCTAATAACCACCCCCACAGAATTTTAATTCCACTAATATAGTATATATCTGTTTATGTACCGTACATATATCTGAGCTTTATACATAAGTTCTATAAAGTTTACTCTTCCATCAGAATGGCTAAATTTAAAAATTAAATGCTTTTAACTTAACTTTACATCTGTATTTGCTGAATAACTTTTATTTATTTATTAAAAATATTTTTTTCTTTATTGATTTTAGAGAGAGAGGAAGGGAGAGGGAGAGAGAGATAGAAACATCAGTGAAAGAGAACATCAACTGGCCGCCTCCTGCATGCCCCCGACTGGGGATTTGGCCCACAACCTGGGCATGTGCCCTGACTGGGAATCGAACTGGCAACTTCTTGGTGCATGGGTAGACGCTCAACCACTGAGCCATACCGGCAGGGCTGTTGAATAACTTTTTTTTTTTTTTTTTATCCTCACCCGAGGATGTTTTTCCATTTTTTGTACAGATAGAGTGGGAGGGAGAGATAGGAAGAGAGAGAGAGAGGGAAACATCGATGTGAAAGGGACACATCGAGTGGCTGCCACCCGCACAGCCAACCAGGGCTGGGGACAAACTGCAACCGAGGTACGTGCCCTTAGCGGGAACCGAACCCGGATCTCTCCGGACCGCAGGCGGACGCTCTAACTGCTGAGCCAAATTGGCCAGGGCTGTTGAATAACTTTTACTTAGATAAATGGTAACATATCAAAATACATATGCAAGTTAGCAAATTATATAACTACATAAAACAATGTAATTAAATGTATATTAAATCCTCCAACATTGTTATTTTACCAGCAAAATTAAAACATTGAAAAAATTACATAAATTTCTTAATATTTATGTTTAGTAACTTTAACTTTTAACTTTTGCTTGATATGTGAAAATAACTTGTAATTTAAATAGCTGCTACGTATTGTCAACACTTTTCCTTTTCAGTGCTTGACAAAATTAAGGGTTGAATAATTTGTGTAAAATTAAATAACAAAATATAAACTATTTTTATGTACTTTTCAAAGTCCAAGTTTACACAAAAACCCTGAGGAACAAACACAAATATCCACAAAGCAGCCAGTAGGCCCATGTATTCCGTCTGAGATGGAGCAAACTGACAAGAGAGAGTCTGCCAGTCACAGCCATAGTCTGCCAGTTTGCCATAGTTCTACAGCACTGACCTTGCATATGTGTAGTGTATTCTCCATGAACTCAATAATGTCAGTGTTGCACATTATACTCTGTCCCCTCCCCCCCCCCAAATGAGAGAAATTAAATACTAAAGAATAAGATTTTGTTGGGCAAGGCTGAGTTTTGGAGGGACACAAAACAGTGTACCCTCTAAGATATTTTTTCAATCTCCAAGAACCAATTTCCACCCATCACAGAAGGAAAACTGCTTCCCTTCTCTCCTGGCCCCATGTTGAGAGCAGAGTAGCTCTCATTTCCAAGTAAACCTCACATGATGAATCTTTTCACACAGGAAACTTGGTCCAGAAAAAACACTTCCCCTAGCCCTTATGGATCCAAAGCCTAACTTTGGGTAGGTCATTAAATTTCTCTGAATATTAGTTTCCCTACCTGGAAGATAAGATTAGCAAAGCCTACTTTGTACAAGTCCTTTGTAAAAAATAAAGGTCATATGTGTAAAGGGCCAAGCACACTGCTTAGCACATAGAATGTGTTTAGTAAACAATCAGCAAATATTCAGCAGGGCATAGATACAAGTGGGACAGGAAGAATGCCCCCTTAGGACGCCAAAGATGATCTTTACTCCAGGCAAAATGCCAATTCAGTTCTTTTCAGAGTTATACTTTTTTTTTTTTTTTTTTAGATGGCTGGCACAAGAGCAGGGAAAAACCTCAGGAAGCCAAGGAATCGATTCTGTCTGCCCAACAGACCTGTTACAAATCTCTAGTTAATGGTATTCAAGTGGCCTTCTGGATTAGTCTGTTTACTTTCTGTTCACTTCTGCATTTCAAAACCACAGATTTTGTTTCCCAGCCTAGAAACAAGTGAAAATTCCAACATCCCTTCTCCCTCCCGCCTCTTTCTAGTTAGTCACAAAATCCCATTGATTTTGCCTTTTTAAGTTTCTCTCAAATTCTTCCCTACCTCTATATCTATCCACAACCTCTGGCTTATTTCCAGTTTTTATAAATTCACATGTAATAATGGCAATAGCTCTGGTTTTCACTGCTTACAGTCTTGACCTCCTATGATCTAATCCAGATTAAGGTCCTTCATATTCCTCACAGCTTCAGGAGGGGTTTTCTCCTTTCAGGCTTAATTTCCACAGCATGACCCAAGCCCTGACCCAGAAATACACATCCCAGGGGCAGTCATGCTGAACTATTTTATTCTCTGAACATCTTATCTCATGATGTAAATGAATTTCACACATTTTTTATTGTAAATTGCCACTATGCTTGCAATATGATTTCCCTAAAACTTGGGAAGTCATACTCATCATTCCTTCCAGGCCGCCTCCTCTGTGAAATGCTACAGATCTTCCCCTGTAGGATTAACAGAAAAAAATAATGATAATTCTTATGAATAACTCAAATCTCTGGATAGGCCTGTACTTGGTAAGAAAAGAGTACAGGAAGGTAAAAACCAAGCCTTGAATTTGTGTCTTTGAAGACTGGGATGTAAAGCAAAGAGTCTGATGAAGCTTCAGTGAAGGGAGAGTCTGGTGCCTGGAGAGAGCTAACTCTGCAGACTTTTCCCCCAACAGTGTTGGGGACGCGGAGACTTTCCTCCCCCATGCGATATGGCATGAGGGCAGAGTTCAACTTGTACTATTCCAATCAGTAAAACAGGTGGAGAACTCCAGATTATGTGGCAAAAGAAAGGATGTTTTAACTGATCTAACTAAATATCAGTAGCCAAAGGAGAATATAGAGCCTTTCAAATTCCTTTCTAGGCATACATATTCCATGAGATTAATCATGTATACTTTTCAACAGTTTCAACATGAAAAATAAATGATTATAGAAAGCAGTAACTGTTCTTTCTGCATCCTGATAAAAGTCGCCTTGAAGAATAAATGTTTCCAAACTTTATTTTCAGATTCGCCTATGTCATGGAGGATGACCCACCCTTAATCTGTGCTGTACGTCCTTTCCACCTGAAGCAAAACTGTTGCTCTTGGAAATGTATGTATTTCTCGCTTATCCCTCTACCTATATAAGTAGTCCTCAATCTTCCAAGTCAGAGCACTGTTTTAAGGCTTATTGGAGTTCTCCTCTCGGACATGTCCTCAATTTGGCCCAAATAAAAACTTTTTTTCTTAAATATACAGAGGTTCAGAACTTCTTTCCTTTGACAATCTCACATTTTACCATTTCAAAACCCGGGGACAGTCAGAACTGGTGGAAAACAACTTCAGCAAGTAGAAATCGTGGCTCCTGTCAAGAGGGGTCTCCCTTACAAACCAGGGGGATGCGGCATTATTTCTCAGAGTACGGTCCTCCCACACGCACCAGAATCCTTGGGATCCGGACCTTAGGGTCCGCAGGGGGCCGGTCCATTCCAGCACTCTCTTACTTTGGCGACCAGGCAAGTCCAGACGAGCAGTACAAAAGACAGAGGCGGAATCGCCTCTTCCTCCCCCACCCGCAGCCGCTGGAAAAGGCTCAGCCTTGCGACACCGAAGCTCCATGCCACCCAGAGAGAGGCTAGGGCAGCGCAGACTCGGCTGCAAGGGGCCCGGCCTCCCACTCCCGAGGGGCACCTAAGGGTCCTCACCTGGACGTCGCCCCTGCCACTCGGCCCACAGCAGGGTCAGGTCGCCATCAGCCCTCAAGAAGCGCACCAGCTGCACCACGAACGCGAGCGGTACACACAGCGCCAGCAGCCAGAGCAGCAAGTCCCAGCTCATTGCGGCCGCACGCGCCGGCTCCACGGGAGGAAGGCAGACCGCACCCAGCCACGCAGAATTGCTCAGGGATCAGTGCTGCTGCCGCCCCGCCCACCCGCCCTCAAGCCCCGCGCTAGGCTCCGCCCAGACTCTCACAACCTTCGCTAGCCCCTCCTCCCTGCTGTGCGCGTGGGCGTGCCCCCCCATTTGCTGCATAAATTCTGCCTGCGTGTTTGCCCAATTAAGGGTTGCAGTAAGGAATGAGAGGCATGGGTTTGTAGTATCAAAACCGATTTTTTAGTCCTGGCTGGTTTGGCTCAGCGGTTAGAACGTCAGCCCGTGGACCAAAGACACCCGGGTTTGGTTCCCGCTAAAGGCAGGTAACTCGGTTGCAGTTTGTCCCCAGCCTGGTTAGGGGCGTGTGGGTGATAACCAGTGGATGTGTCTCTCTCAGATGGACGTTTCCCTCTCTCCTTCCCGCTTTATCTGAAGATAAGTGCAAAAATGTCCTCTGGGGAGGATTTTTTAAAAAATGATTCTTTAGCAGTTTTGAGGACTTTTCAAGGCCCTAGTTGTGTCAACAGGAAGAGCACAAATATTTCAGCCTAAGGACGCGGACTCCTCCTAGTTTTACTTCTTTAATTAGATGAATCCAACAAACAATAAAATTGATCCAACCCCCACGGATTTAACCCAGCCTCTGAGTTAAACTGGCCCAGTGTAAACTTAAATTTGGAAAGCACCTTGCAAATGACTTTTGCCTCATTGCTGGACAAGAAAGTGCAGCTTCGGCCATGACTGCCCATGAGTGCTAGCGCTAGGAGCTCAGACTGGGGACCTGAGCCAACCCACTTAAAGTAAGTTTGTAACTGCACCCTTGGTGACCCTGATGAAATCATGTCCTTAGCTGTGTACACAAACAATATGGAGGATGATTTAAATGAGAAAGAGCCTGTATTGGGCACAGTGGCTCAAACACAGTAATTCATTCCTTTGTAATTATTACTATTAGTTGTTATTATTAATTATTCATTGTTTCCATTATTATAATTTTTTATTAATTTATTTTTGTTACAGATGTTTCTCCTTTTTCCCCCTTAGACATCCTCCTCCTGATCCTGACCCCCCCCAAAGGATTGTTGTCTGTGTACATTGGTTATGCATATATGTATATAATAAGTTCTTTGGTTTATCTCCCCCCCGCCCTTTGCCCCCCTCCTCAGGTTTGTTAGTCTGAACCATACTCCTTTCCAAATCTCTGGGTCTATTTTGTTCATCAGCTTATTTTGTTCATTATATTCCACAAATAAGTGAGATCATGTGCTATTTGTCTTTCTCTGATTGGCTTATTTCACTTAGCATAATGCTCTCCAGGTCCCTCCATGTCGTCTCAAAGGATAAGAGATATTCCTTTCTTACAGCTGTACTGTACTCCATTGTGTATATGTACCACAGCTTTTTTATCCAGTCCTCTACTGATGGACACTTGGGCTGTTTCTAGATCTTAGCTATTGTAAATAGTGTTGCTACAAACATGGGGGTACATATATTCTTTCTGATTGGTGTTTCAGGTTTCATAGGGTATATTCCTAGAAGTGGGATCACTGGGTCAAATGGCAGTTCAATTTTTAATTTTTTGAGGAAACACCATATTGTTTTCCATAGTGGCTACACCAGTCTGCATTCCCACCTTCAGTGTGCTAGAGTCCCTTGTTCTCCACACCCTCACCAGCCCTTGTTGTTTGATGATTTGTTGATGCAGCCATTCTAACAGGTGTGAGGTGATACCTCATAGTCGTTTTAATTTGCATCTCTCTGATGATTAGTGATGTTGAGCATTTCTTCTTATGTCTCTTGGCCATTTGTATGTCCTGTTTGGAGAGGTGTCTATTTAGGTCCTCTGCCCATTTTTTAATTGGGTTCTTTGTCTTCCTTTTGTTGAGTTGTATAAGTACTCTATATATTTTGGAAATTAACCCCTTATCTGATGTATCATTGGCAGTTATGCTCTCCCATATATTGGGTTGCCTTTCCATTTTGGTGGTTGTTTCTTTTGCTGTGCAGAAGCTTTATAGTTTGATGTAGTCCCATGTATTAATGTTTTCCTTTGTTTTTCTTGACTTAGGTGTTGTATCAGTGAAAATTCTGCTGCATGTGATGTATGAAATTTTGTTGCCTACATTTTCTCCTAGGATTTTATGGATACACAAGTCACATTTAAGTCTTTTATCCATTTTGAGTTTATTCTTGTGTATGGTGTAAGTTGGTGGTCTAGTTTCATTCTATTGCATGTAGCTGTCCAATTTTCCCAACACCATTTATTAAAGAGGCTGTCTTTACTCCATTGTATGCTCTTGCCACCTTTGTCAAATAATAATTGAGCATAATGTCTCAGATAAATTTCTGGGTTCTCTGTCCTGTTCCATTAACCTATATTCCTGTTCTTGTGCCAGTATTAGGCTGTTTTGATTAGAGTAGCTTTGTAGTATAACCTGATATTCGGTATTGTGATCCCTCCTACTTTGTTCTTCTTTTTCAAGATTGCTGTGGCTATTTGGGGTCTTTTTGGTTCCATGTGAACTTTTGAAGTATTTGTTCTAGTTCTGTGAAGTATGTCGTTGGTATTTTGATGGGGATTGCATTGAATCTATACATTGCTTTGGGTAGGATAGACATTTTAATGATATTAATTCTGTCAATCCATGGACAAGGTATATGCTTCCACTTATTTATATCCTCCTCTGTTTCTTTTTTTAATATCCTGTAGTTTTCTGTGAATAGGTCCTTTATTTCTTTGGTTAAGGTTATTGCCAGGTATCTTAATTTTTTTGCCACAATGGTAAATGAGATTGTTTTTTTCATTTCTCTTTCTGTGAACTCATTATTGGTGTATAAGAATGTCATCGAATGCAGCGAAAGCAGTTCTGAGAGGGAAGTTCATAGTACTACAGGCCTACCTCATGAAACAAGAAAAATTTCTAATAGACTATCTAATTTCACAACTTAAAGAACTAGAAAGCAAACAGAAAGAAAATTCCACAGCAAATAGAAGGAAGAAAATAGTAAAGATCAAAGCAAAAATAAATGACATAGAAACCAAAAAAATAATTCAAAGGATCGATGAAACAAAGAGCTAGTTTTTTAAAAAAATAAACAAGATTGATGGACTCATAGCTAGACTCACCAAGAAACAGAGAGAACCCAAATACACAAAATCAGAAATGAAAGAGGAGAAGTAACAACTGACACCACATAAATACAAAAGATCATTAACAAATATTATGAACAATTATATGGCAAGAAACTCAACAATCTAAGCAAAATGGAAAAATTTCTAGAAACACATAGTCTCTAAAAACTGGACTGGGAAAAGATAGAAAACTTGAACAGACCAATAACAACTAAGGAAATTGAAGATGTAATCAAGACTCTCCCAGAAAACTAAAGCCTCAGCTCGGATGGCTTCACGGGGGAGTTTTACCGAACATTCAAAAAAGAACTAACACCCATTCTCCTCAAACTATTTCAAAAAATTCAACAAGAAGGAAGACATCCAAACTTGTCTTATGAGGCCAGCATAATTCTAATTCCAAAACCAGAAAAGGACACTACAAACAAAGAAAACTACAGGCCAATATCCCTGATGAACATGGATGCCAAAATCCTGAACAAAATACTAGCAAATAGAATCCAGCAATACATCAAAAAAATTATTCACCATGACCGAGTGGGATTCATCCCAGGGATGCAAGGCTGATACAATATTCGCAAATCAATAAATGTGATATACCACATAAACAAAATGAAGAATAAAAACCACATTATCATATCAATAGATGCTGAAAAAGCATTTGACAAAATGCAGCATCCATTTCTGATAAAAACGCTCAGCAATGTGGGAATAGAGGAATCATATCTTGAAATAATAAAGGCCATATATGAAAGACCTACAGCCAACATCATACTCAATGGGCAAAAATTAAAAGCATTTCCCTTAAGAACAGGAACAAGACAAGGATGCCCACTTTCGCCACTCTTATTTAACATAGTATTGGAAGTCTTAGCCACAGCAATCAGACAAGAAGAAAAAATAAAAGGGATCCAAATTGGAAAGGAGGAAGTGAAACTGTCATTATTTGCAGAAGACATATTATATATAGAAAACCCTAAAGAGTCCATCAAAAATCTATGAGACTTAATAAATGAATTTGGCAAAGTAGCAGGATACAAAATTAATGTCAAGAAATCGACAGCATTCTTATACACCAATGATGAACTCACAGAAAGAGAAACTGAAAAAACAATCCCATTTGCAGCAAAAAAATTAAGATACCTACGAATAAACTTAACCAAAGAAGTAGAGGACCTATTTTCAGAAAACTACAGGACATTAAAAAAAGAAATAGAGGAAGATATAAAAAAGTGGAAGCACATACCTTCTTCATGAATTGGAAGAATTAACATAATTAAAATGTCCATATTACCCAAAGCAATCAATAGATTCAATGCAATCCCCATCAAAATACCAATGACATATTTCACAGAACTAGAATAAATACTTCAAAAGTTCATAAGGAACCAAAAAAGACCCCGAATAGCCAAAGCAATCTTGAAAAAGAAGGATAAAATAGGTGGGATCACAATACCAGATATCAGGTTATACTACAAAGCTACTGTAATCAAAACAGCCTGGTACTGGCACAAGAACAGGAATATAGATTAATGGAACAGAACAGAGAACCCAGAAATGGACCCAAGACATTATGCTCAATTAATATTTGACAAAGGTGGCAAGAGCATACAATGGAGTAAAGACAGCCTCTTTAATAAATGGTGTTGGGAAAATTGGACAGCTACATGCAAAAAAATGAAAATAGACCATCAACTTACACCATACACAAGAATAAACTCAAAATGGATAAAAGACTTAAATGTGACTCGTGAATCTATAAAAATCCTAGAAAATGTAGGCAACAAAATTTTGGACATCACACGCAGCAGAATTTTCACTGATACATCACCTAAGTCAAGAGAAACAAAAGAAAACATTAATACATGGGACTACACCAAACTAAAAAGCT